CGAGCCTACATGTGATAGGGTTCAGATAAGCGGTCAGCAAATGAAAAGCAAGTCAAAAAGTACAAAAACTGAAATCAATCTATGCCATTTTTGAACAGAACCCCATCATATGTAGGCTCGTTTGACGCGGAATTTCGCGTAGATTACGAAAATATGTTTCAGAATCCAATTTTGTTCCATGGGAAAGAAATATTTTGAAAAATCATAAATTGTTATGCCTTTGGAGCTTTAACGCCTTTTACAGGTAGGATATCCTACCTTTGTTTTACCAGTGTAATCATTGCAGTTTGATCATTTCAATTTTTACTGTTCTGAAATATGAAGCGTGAGTGCCTGCGCACGGACAACGGACACTGTCAAAAATGTTAAACCTCTGAAAAATGTTACCTGTCTAGAAATTATTTCTACAAACTTTAAATTTATCGTAAAAATTGTATATTAGAATTGTCGAGAATTGTGTATTTTTTCTTCGGAGTGGCGTAAGGTTTGCGAACGACGCATGGCGTCCTCGGATGAATCTCCGAACGCTCGCTGTTTTACGATCGCAGTTTATGGTTCGAGCTGCTGGAATACGACAATGATACAATGTCGTAAAAAAAAAAGAAACGAAGGAACATACAGCTCTGGTGCCTGTATACAGGAAAAGCTGTCAAATCAATGTGCTGCAGGGATGGTTTACCGCTGCAGCAGATCGCAAAGCAATGCCAGTTTTCGCCTCTTTCCAACCAAAGTGCAGAAAGGAAGAAGCCGCGCGTAGTGCATAGTGCACACCAGCCCACAATATAATTGTATTTTCCACTGTTTAGACTCGGGCTGCTGCTCCTTCACTCGACTTGGACTAGGAAGTGTGCAACCCTTCTGTTGAACTGAACACTGCCTTAGTTTGGACCGATTGGATGCGTATTATTTGGACAGTGTTCTTTTTAACAGAGGATTTGCACACTTACTAGTGCACAAATACCGATGTCAACGCTTGCAACTGCACTACAGTTGCACACTTACATGTGTTGAGCAGTTGCCCACTTGGTTTACAAGTATGGTGACAAGAGTATTCCATATTGTACACATTACCAATTTAAATTTTTATTTTATTTGTGTACATTACATGCGTCGTGAAACGAGGAACAGATTGAACAGATGTTACACCATACAACATAATCATTGACAATTTTGTGGATGTAAAAGAATTTATACATTTGGCAACAAACAAAATTTGAACTTATACTCTTGCGAGCTGCTACAAACTTTAAGCCCTTTTTAAAGATTAGACTAAATAAGTCAATAATACAGATGAATTCTCCGCAAGCGAGTGCGTAAGAAAATGAGAGTGAAGTTACTAAAACCTGACTGAATACATATTTCTATTTTTCAGAACCTGTTTCATTCTGTAACGAAAAAATAATTTCGTGTACTTTAAAGATATTTTATGATTGCTACTAAAAGTGATACTGGTCCTCAACCAGTTGGTGCATCTGCATCGGTGGAATTGACTCATGCAGCATAAATTCCGGTAGAACAAACGATTCATGCTCATGTACTAAATTACCGTGCACGTTTGTGGTTTGGTTTCCTGGCTGCAAGTATTCTACGCTACTATTGTTCCCGCACTGCCAGGGATGCGATGGTTGGTATTCAAAGGAAATACTAGACCCACTGCTGATGTGTTCTGTGGAGGGCTGTTGTAACGATACGTGTCCATACATTAA